CAGGCTATTGATCACAAGCTGGGTTCTTATGGGCTCTCACGTTATTCTTAATGTCCCTAGGCTTTGATCAAGCAAAGCAAGTAGTAATTAATAGAATGAAGGACATGGAGTTCCAAGAAGAACTCCTATTGTGGAGAGGCATTACTGTGCCTCTCCACTATAGGGACAGAATGAAACAGGGGTGTGGGAATCAGGAAGATATCTAAATGACCTGATCTTCCCAAAACAAAGAATAGCTTTCTTCAGAGCCAGATTTAACATTCTTCCTTCAGCACTCCTCCAGGATAGGTATAAGAGAACACCAATAGCAGAACGGGTTTGTATATGTGGTAAAGGAGAAGTTGAAGATATCTCACATGTTCTATTACACTGTGAGCTATACAGAGTTTGTAGGTCTGCACATATTCTCCCCTTATTAGAGAGATTGCCAGGGAGGGCAGACAATTTTTATCTAGGCCTTCTCCTCCACGACAGAAACCCGGCTACCATGTACGCAATGGCAAAGTTATGTGTTTATTTATGTGTTGCTGTAATGTCCACAAGGAAAAAATTGGGTTACAGAAGTATAGTTGTCATCTTGTACCAATTATTTGGACATATCTCTAACAATTTCTGGACCATTGTATTTACTCCCATACTTAACGGCTTTGCACCCAGGTAAACCAGAGAGTGACCCGAACAATTTGAGAACATGTATGTTATTTTCCATTTTTAAGATCAATACGTTTTAATTATATCTTAATGTTAGTACTTTTTAACATATTGTAAAAAGTAATGTGTATTGCTGATCTTTGACCACAATAAAGATTTATACTAGATGTGCTTCAGTCATGGTTTTGTATTAAGTTCTTTTCCATGCTGTTTTTGTTTAATTCTCTTTGCTGAAGAGAGCTCCCTTTACCTGCCCCCCTTGAATTTTTTCAATCATACTGATTTTGTTAGAAATTGTTGAAATATATTGTTCACCAAACCTGCTTTAAACTTAATCAACATCACTCACCCTAATATCTTACTTGTGGATGATAAAATTAGCACTAATATTAGCAAAGATTATGAATCTAGATTTAATGAATGGTTTGTTTTCTATGCTGGTCTTTAACAATACCCTTGAGGACAAGTCTAATATGCAGGACAAAAGTTCATGGATCAAATGATTTCAACCTATCAAACATAGTGTTCTGACTATAATCAGTTCTTATTCTGATATATGAAATTTATTTTTAAAAAAGAGGTTAAAATAGGATTTCTGTGTCTGTCATATTCAACCTGCCAACTACTTTTGATACATATTGTGCAGATGGAAGCATGGGACAGAAGAATCTGTAGTATATTTACAGAAATCTTGTGCTTTCTGCCCCCTATTGCTCAGTATCAATCCTGCAATTTCAACATCCTAAATTCATAATAATAACATAGAAGTTAACTTTCTTTCTTGGCTGCAAATATTCAGGGTCAACCCAAAGAGACTTGGTCACTTTTCCATTCTAGATGTTGCCCAACAACTCAGCAAATTCACTAGTTAGGTCTGTAGTAAAACTCCTCTAGAAACATCAGATGAGAATAGAATTGTTTGCCACTTATTGTGGGGATTAAAATAGCATAAAATCCTAAATTTAGTCAGCTGGAAATAGAGCATATGTTCTTCTTCTCGGTAGTTTGAAGTCTGAATACAATAATTCCAATGTCTTTAAACCATATCATGGTATTGCATCAACATTAGTCAAGCCAGCGTGGGGCAGTCCCAAGCATCGAGGACAAACCCAGGTTCATGTCTTCCCTCAGTCATGGAAATGATTACTAGATAACTGATCCAATCACACACTTATCAGCTATGTAGCTGTCTCATAGAATACATGGAAATATCTGAGGATGAAGTGTAGTTTGACACTCTGAACTGACACAACATTCATTTAGTAGCCACTTCTGAATTATTTATGTTGAAATGATTGAAGTATGTGCCAATGATCATACAATGATCCACTGAAATGCTGCCACTGAAGTTGATGTTTTGTAATATTAAAGCATACTGGTGGTTGACCTGTGATTAGTATTAATATTTCAGAAAGAATTATTCATTATAGACAGGAAAAGCTGTACAGAGTAATAAATTCAAATAAAATTTATTGTCTTTAGTTCATGATTGTAGTTCCCAAAATATGAAAGCAAAACTAATTGGAAGTGATTGCCAAAGAATTGGATCTTAACAATAAGTATATTTTTGTTTATGAATAATTATATTTAAGAAGAAATTGCATAGATCTTATAACTGGAAATATGTCAAAATTTATAATTCAAAGTTTACAGCATCTAACTGAAAAGAAACATTCAATCTTAAATGCAAAATAATATGTAATGATCTATAAATAATGCATGTTATTGATTCAATTGTGAAATTCAAGGAAGAAAGTTATCTTGGATTTTTTTTAAACCCTTGTGGATTAGTATTTTCCTGATTTAAGGCTGTGCATAGTAGATCTAACTTCTCATAATTTTGGAATTTTTAATATTCATCATGTATTCAGTTGCCAATTGTATTATGAACATAAAGTGTTTATTAGAACAGGAGTAACATGGTTTATCATGCAGTGTGAAATATCCTGTGTAGAAAAGAAATATCAAATATCTATTCATGAAGATAAATTCCAAAAACAAGAATACCTATATTAAGATGACTAGGACTCAGATTTGTAACAACACGGAACAGATAAAAGAAATCTGAAAACAAAACCAGCTACTTGTAGAATGAATAAAAAACATAACACAAAACTGCAGTTTCAGAAATCTGTAAGAGCATCTGTTAATGTGCTTGTTGCATACCAGACTAACATCAGCCTCCCATATATTGTTATATCAGTAATTCAAATTAGGTTTCTACTATTATCAAAGATGATTCATATGTAAAATTTGATACCAAAGGAGCTTTCCTTTTATAAGCAAAAATTTATATACTATTATCTCCAGGATATAGCTTTGTTTCCTTTTAAATAGTTTTAAGCATGATTAAATAAATTCAGTTTTTATAAATTGAATGCATTTTCATAAACATAATTAAATCACATTATTAATATATTAATCTTGTTATATAGGTAGATATGCATACTTTTGATTACCATTTTAATATTTTCATTGAAAAAAATATTTTAAAAGCTAGTAAAACTTTCATTAGCCTTTCACTCATTATTAAGAAAATTCAGGCACAAAAATAATCCAGGTCAGTTCAAAATGAATGTATTGGGGGGGGTGTAATATGGTTTTATAGACTAAACAGAGAACTTTTGATAGCTTTGATACTTTTAATTTAATTTAAACCTATATTAAGAAATATGAGTAATAATACTGAAGCTATAATTGGGGAAATAATATGCACACTTATTTTCACTGATCCATCTTACTGCGTACTATGAATGGGACCCTGCAATCTTCTGTAAGGATTCTTTATGTATGCTGGACTTCTCCATATATGATTAACAATCAGTTGGACCATTCTGAAGTTATGGGCAATTTGCAATCTCCCTCATCTTGAGGAAGTTAGACTTTCTCATGTACCGTTCTAGTTGGCTGGGATAAATATGGAAACCAGCTGGCTGGTACAACAGAATGGGCATTCAAAATAGCACAAAACATTTTATGGGAAGTTAAATTTCTTTCCTAATCTTTTCTCCCAATAGTTGATAATATTATTTAGGTATAGTTTGAATTTTATTGTAAGGAAATACTTCATAGCAAATAACACAGTTTAGATTCTAGCTTTGGTTGTCTCGTTATAGCAACAAATGATGTGGAAGAAGTCTTTCCTTCCACTTTTTGGACTTGTGCCAAAACAGTCATCTCAACAGCTAGCCTTTTTTTGAACAAATTATTTCAATGATCCCATAAGTAAGTTTTGTATTTATATTTCCCTTTGAGGAAGATGGACGGTTTACAAATATAAAAAATAAAATAAATTGATGTAGTCAACAAAACTGGATACAAAAGACAAAAAACTATTCATGCATTTGAAAAATTAATAGTGTTTTAGAAATCTCTGGTTCAATTAAGTTATCAAATATCTACATTCTCCCAAAAAAACAAATATATCCATTAGGTATACAAAGCACATAGTGAGAAGGATGAGGTTAATGGCTATCAAAATTGCTTAGATATTTCTATTTTCCTAGATGGCACCAGGAAACAAGGTTTTAGCGTGATCTACAAAGGCAGAAACCTGCTTTTACATGTTACATCCAAACAAACCACCATATTCTTGTCAAAATATGTTCTTTAGGCAGGCTCTGTTCAGCTGTAAATTACTCAGTGGCTTTAAGTGCAAAACTTTGGCAGTGTGAAAAGTACAAAAATTCATCAATACTAGAAAGTGATAATAATGTGAAATCTGATCCAGCAAGCAATATGGTGTACATTGATTTCAGTGCAAGAGATCAGATATTTAATTGTCTGTGTGATATGTGTATTATATACAATATACACATATGGTATCAACACATGGCATCATATCCACTTCTAATATATGCATATAGAATGGTTCTTCAATAAACTTGAGTTTTTCATTTTGAGGTGCATTATTTACAAAATGCAGCTTTAATTAACAAGAAGACAATCACATCTGAAGATTAAATAATGCATCTATTTAATGCCTTTAAAAAATGGGCATTTGAATCCAGATGAATTTAGCAATGACTCTTCCAGAGGGGATTAAAGTACGTCCACCCATCGCCCTGAAAAAAATTACAGAAATTACAGGTAAGCATCTATATTAACATAAGAACTTATCAAAATATAATAAAAATATCATAATAAATATGGTAGTAACATGTTAAGAAAATTCCAAGCATATCCAAAATATTTTTGAAATTCTTCTGACAATACTTTCCATATATGTAAATTGAACACACTACTTAAGACTTTTAAAAAATCAGATTTTTGTTTTTTATTTATTCTCTTTTAGCATAATTTTCTTAACAAAAAACTTTAGGAAAGTATAAATCTAGACATTCAGTATAATTGTAATAATAACTAATGATACAGCCTGCTTTGAAAAATCTTGATATAAAAAATAATCTGCTATACTGGAAGTATACTCCAAGAATACAATCCACTACAGAACAATATCTTAGTTTTTCATATTTCACTTTGCTTCTCTAAATTAAAGCTACTCCACTGTCTCATCTTAACTAGGGCTGCGAGATGTAGGCTATAAAATGCTGGATGATTAATTCATTTCTTTACTGTCAACTAATGGCTGTTGAGATTTGTGTAGCCTGGCTCTAATAGACCTATTTAAACCTTAATATTCTGGGTTTAGTCCAAATTTAGATGTAAGATTAGAGGTTAACACAAATAGATTTTCAAATCTCTATTCAGCAGTCTTCCTGGCTCTTGAAAATGCTAGACAAATTGGAAAGATTTGCTAATGGCTTAAATCCAAAGTTGCTAGCATTGCTTCTCCTTGTACTCACCAGGTTTAGTAATGTCTGCTTTTAAAAGAAAATGAAAAACAGAAAAATGGTTGGTGCAAAATAAATCACCAGGTTCAGACATAATTATTACCAAGAATGGCTCTGGGCTTCAAATGAATGGCATACGTCTGTTAGATATTGCAATCCCATTGTGGGAGTATGCCCACATTCTAAAAAACAAAATAAAATCAGCAGGGATGGCACCTCCCATAACAGCAGGCATTGGAGAAATAGCATCCTGAGAAATCAATGTTTTGTAATTTAGCAATCCTTCAAGTCAACATTTTGCCAGAATACAGGTTCCACAAGCACCAGATATATCCAACTCAAAAAAAAAGAGGACACTTAGAATAAGTCTGGATAGTTTAAAAAGGCGAGATATCTCTGGAACATGGTTCTGCTAAACATTCATGAATCGGTTCAATTACACTATCAGCCCCCAACTTGTCTCTCCAATATTTGCAAAGGGCCTGCTAGGAGAAAAAGTTGCAGGGCAACGAGTTCCATTGCACAATCTACATCTAAATCTAACCATCCACCAAAAAACACAAGTTGAATTGACTGGAAAGATATTCAGCAGCATGAGAATAAATTACTCTTGTTGTGGGAACTCATTGGATAGTTTATTATTTATCTTAGCAATAGTGTTGGTATCACATTTCAGCCTGGGATACAGTAATAATAAAAAACTTCTATTGTGGTGGAAACCCATTCCTGGTTCTATCCAGCTCATATTTCTCCATTTCTGTTATTTATATAGCACCCAAAATTTAACATAAAAGCTAATAGCTAAAATATAGTAACATCTAACTGCTGATGTGAGTGTGTGTGTATGTGTGTATTTGGTTCTGCTTAATCAAATATTCATCTATATAATCCTCATATTTAAACATGTTACAGCATTGTAGTTCTCCTCTGTGGGCCAGTGAGGGGAGGGGAGCAGGAGGGGAGATGGGACGGATGCCTCCTACAGCACCCTGCTGACCAAATTGGGGCACCAGGGGGCTGTGTGTGGCCTGTTTTTGGCCTCCACGGCCTCCTGCAGCATTCTGCCAGCCTAAATAGCCGTGTTTGGTCGTACAGCCCACCCCGGTGGCCTATTTTGGCCAGCAGAGGCAACACAGGCCAGTCCTTTGATATTTCCAGGTTGCCCCTGCGGGCCAGATTTAAATACCCTATCGGCCGGATTTGGCCCGCGGATCTTGAGTTTGACACCCCTGTTCCAAACATTTGTAAGAAAGACCTTCAAAACTCAAAAGTCATAAAGGTATTCAAATGCAATGATTTGCCATGAGATTTCTGTTGTCTAATATCTTTCCCATTACCTCTTTGGTAAAATATTTTGGTTTCCAAAGTGTGTTGCTAGTTGCTCGTTGCCTCTCCTCTTTTCGCTGCCTCTCCTCAAGAAAAAGCTTATGTTCTGTTGCCACATCAATGTCACCTTCCTTCAGGGCAGCAGTGACATGTTGCCATAAATGCCTTACATAGAGAAAAATGAGAAGGCTTTATTTGAAAACAAACCTGTTATAAAAGAACTATTGTCTTGCCTGTTGGTTTGCATGGAAGACTCATTGACGAAGTCCACTAAAGCCTTAAGGATATAGGATCAAGCCATAGCTGACAGGTTGAAAACACTTTTTCAGAAAAGTACAACTAAACACAACACTCGAACAACTTTGCAGAAAAAAAGGGGGGGAAGCTTTGTATGAAAAGCAAGCTTTAAACAAGTGCACTAATTTTTAATGTTAATAAAATTAAATATTACTAATAAGTTTGTAATATTAATTTTACACTGCAGTAGCTGAAAATCTAGTATTATATGATAGGACTTCTGCTTATTACAATTTTTATTTATTTATTTAGAACATGTATATATCTGGGCAGCTAACAATGGAAAACAAAAGCATTTAGTTATCTAAAACACTTTCTTTTCTTTTTCTTTGAATCAAAATGTTTAAGAGTAGATACTGACTCAAGAGACTTTTACAACATTTCTCAGAATTATTTCTTTTCCAAAAGTCCTTTTGAGGATCAAATAAGGTATGACCCTCAGATTTGCCATCTGGAGCACCTAATAAAAATATGGGACATGAATGTAAGACTAAATAATGTCTTATATCTGCTTGCTCCAATCTGAGCATTTACAAACTATTCTGTATACTGGTGATTAAAATGAACTACAGGAAATTATTAAACCATGAAGAATACTGCTATTGAGAACATATCACCAGAAAAGGCTAAATTTATCAACTATCTTGTTTAGAACTGTCATAAATCTGTTCTCTCTGGAAATGCCATACAATCTTTTGGCATCTTTTATATGGCTCAATTTATTCCATAGCAATTAATAAAAAAATATTCTATACACTTACAGTTAGTTCAGTATGCTCTTATGTATTTTTGAATTCCTTATGAGTTGCTCTTACTCATAAGAAAATCCACAGGAAAGTAACACTGAGCAATTTTGACCTAGAGCATGGAAGATTCTCAATACCATTCAGCATATTGCAATTGTATCTATCTGTGCTTAGAAAAATCTTTCAAAAAATCTTTTAGAAAAATGCTGTTTACAAAGAAACCACTCTTTGATTAGTACTTGTCTTAAATAAAATTAAAAGGGATGAGATTTCACCAAAATAATTCCACCTTGATTCAAAGGGGCCTTGTTTTGATACTGGTCTGATCTTCTTCCGGATTATAGGTAATTTGGTGGTATCAATTACTTTGGTTTCACCATTGCTATATGTGAATTCCAGAATGCCATTCCATTCTCCTTGTGCTTTACACACTATGGTATTGGTTGGATTATGCTTCACCTCTGCTGTAACCCTAATATAAATAATAAAGGTTTAAGATTACTGGCATTTGAATACACCCTAAACACTTCACCATAACAACATACAGAAAAATGAGATTATGATTTTGCTTTTTAAAAATATATGCCAGATATACTTTTGAAGCAGACAGCATTCTTGATATGTTCAGTATGATTTAACTTAAATAAAAAAAAAACCAATTCTTCATTCCAAAATATTGATCACACATTGTTGATCTGATGCAATGGAGCACATAGAACAATGAATTTCACACTTCACTGTATTATGGTTCTTTACTTCAAATCCATGCATATTTATATATAAAAAGTTATTTATATATTTAAAAAGTCACAACCAATTGCAGAATTGTAAGCAATAGACAGTAGACCCATCAGTATTTTGTACCTTACTATTTTCATAGATTAATCCAAGGAGAGAGCAAAACTTAATTTTGATACCTGTGTAGTTTTCCTCCATAAAATGGCTTGGTGTGGAATGTGACCATAGCAGAGTAGCCACTTTTGGCACAGTGAATATTGACTTTGCCTCCAAGCTCTACCCAAGGAATAGTAAGTATTGAACGCGCATAGGCAGAAGGCAATGTGAATATATATTCCTCCCCATGTTCCAAGAGATAAAGAATGCCTATGGATATGAAGGGAGAAAAAGAGATTAGCATTCAAAGATTTGGAGATGCATGATCATTGTTAAAATATATGCTTAAACAAAACAGTTCGAGAAAGATGAAATATTAATCTTCCTTGTAACTTCTTTCAAGAAGAAAAAATGCAAAGACTCGTGCAGGTAATGATAATGATTTTTTGCAATTGAGCTTTTGTTGAATCAACTTTAGCCATTGGGCTAGCCATTCAATCACACTACTACAATGAATGGTGGTTACATGGATTTGCTGATTGTAACAGGACAGCCTTGAAATTTTGTCTATCAGGATCTGAATATAACATTTTATAATCACATAAATATCTATGATTAGGATGTAATATCGTGCATGACTACTTGGAGGACCCTGAATAGATTGAAAAATAGAGTGCCTAAATGTAAAATCAATATGCTCAAGTGGAGATTCTTAGTAGATAACAAGGCTATGTGAATGTGGAGAGACAGGGAGTCTAACCCATCTGGTGTGTCAGCTACTACCAAAAATATGTACTAATAATGACTTATTTTTGGACAATGACAAAGCCAAGAAGATGTCTTCATTCTAGCAGTTTAAAGTTTGATTTAGACACAGAGGAAGAAAAGGAATATAAGAGGAGGTGCACTATATATAAGAAATAATTGCAGTACAACGTTATAGAAATGCAACAGAATAATGGTGAAAACCTTGAATGCGTTTGGATTAATATAAAAGGAAAAAAGAATGCCATGGGTGCATGGTACAAACCACCCAACCGAACAGAGGAAATAGATGGAATATTATTTAATCAGTTAGCTACAATGTGCACAAAATACACCACAATAGTAATGGGACACTATAACTACCCTGACATCAACTGGGAGACAAACTCTACATCTAATGGAATATCAACAGGTTCCTGACAAACCTAGCAGACAACTTTGTCTCTGAAAAGATAGAGAAGGGAAATAGAGGGTTAGTCACACTGGACTTAATTTTCACTAACAGAGATGGAATGATAGAAGGCATTGAAGTTATAGGAACCTTAAGTGAGAATGACCATGCAATATCAGAAGTCAACATAATGCAAGCTCAAGCAATAAAACAAAGTCAAACTAGAGTCTTGGACTTCAAGAGAGCTGATTTCAATAAACTTAGAGAGTGAGAGACCCATGGATTGGAAGGTAAAGCTGACGGCGGGGAAGGAAGATCCGCTCTGGTGAGGCTTGGCTGCCTTTTAGGCCCTGCTCTGGGCTGCTACCTGCTCGACCTCCGCTTTGCCTTGGGTCCTGCATCCAGCCCATGACAAGGGGACATGCCACTTCCAGGCCATCTCGGCCAGCAGATGGACGAGCAAGCAACCCTCGGGGGAGGAATTTTCTCTCAGGCCTCAATGTATCTCCCCGCCCCCACCGAGGAGCCTTTGGCTGAATGCAACAAGCCCGGAATTGATTTTTCTTCCCCACCATCAGCATTACCTTCCAGCCCATGGGGATCACACCATACTCACAGCACCAGCCCATGCTCAACTGAAGCATGTGGACCAATGGGGGGAAGAGGGAGGGGCAGCAGATAGGTGATGCAGGCAACGTAGCATCAGGCTCACTGGTTGCCTCCCCTGGACAGGCAAGGCCCAGCAGCTGTGCCGAATCCAGGTGGGTGGCAAGATTCAGGCTGTTGGGGCCTGACAGGTCAGTCCTGGCTCACCTTCCCCTCTTCCACCAGCTGCAGGAGGAAGGTAAGGTCACAGAACCAAAAATGCCTGTCATACGGAAGAAGCAGGGAGAGTGAATGAGGGGCTGCTGAAGGCAAGTGAGCTGATTCAGCAAAGGGTGAGACCATGGTGGAAACCTGAGGGAGCAAACGGGGCAGTGGGCGGGGGTGTCTGTTTAGAAAGGCAGGACCTGGCATGTCCCCCAACCCGAGGCTAAGCGCTAGCAGCCAGTATGTGGGCAGAGGCCCCGGAGGCAGTCAAGCATAGTGGGATCGTGGGCCACATGGAAAAGAGTAGGGAAGGCAAGCAAGTGGGCCTGGCAATGGGGACAACCAGGAAGGCTGCAGGGAAGGCAGACAAGCATGGTGGGGCACATGCTACATTGCAGGGAGTAGGGAAGGCAGACAAGTGGGCCTAGCTATGGGACCTGCCAGAAAGGCTGCAGGGAAGGAAAGGAAGCATGGTGGGGCAAGTGCCATGTGGAAGGGAGGAGGGATTGCAGGCAAATGGGCCTGGCCACGGGGGTCGCTAGGAAGGCTGCAGGGAAGGCAGGCAAGCATGGTGGGGCTGTGGGCCACGTGGGAGTAGGGAAGATAGGCATGGAGGGTGGTGGTGAGGAAGCTAGCTAGGCTGTGATTCACAGGCTTACTCATGCATGCAGGCAGATCAGGGCCGCTCAGTTGGGCCGCAGGCACTGCATGGGAAGGCAGGCAAACTGCAGAGGCTGTGTGGTCAACGCAAGCAAGGAGCCACACAGTGTGCTATGCCAGGGGGGTGAGATGAGAAGTCACTGGGTGGGGTGGTGCAGGTCGAGCAGCAAGAGCAGGCAGACTGAGCCAGCCACAGGCGGTATTTGCTGGTTTTTGAACTACTCAAAATTTCCACTACCTGTTCGCCTGAACCGGTCCAAACTGGCTGAAAACCACCTGATTCTATGAGTGAAAATCAAGAGGAAAACAATCCTCGTGGAAAATTTTGAAAAGTGAGATTATAAAAGTTCAGTCCAACACAACATCAATGAAGAAGAAAAAAAAGATCTCAAAAGAAATCAGCATGGCTAAACAAAGGATTTTCTGATAAACTAAAAGACAAAAAGAATAATGAACAAAAAGTGGTAAAAGGGCACTTAACTAAGGCAGAATATCTGTATACAGCCAACACCTGCTAAGATGAGGTCAGGAAAACTAAGGCTCAGAAGGAACTAAGGCTTGTAACCACTGTCAAAACTAATAGAAATGATAATAGATGTGAAAGGCAAGAAAAAAAATCAAGGAAACAATCAGTTCACTAATGGAAGAAGATGGCAAGGATAAGAAGCAATGGATGGAAACTAGTTCAAGGAGAGATCCAACCTAGAAATAAGGAGAATTTTCCTGAAAGTTAGAACAATTAATCAATGGAGATGTGAATGCTCCATCAATGGAGATTTTTAAGTGAGATTGGACAACCATGTTTGAAATGTTATAGGGTTGGGGACTCCTACCCCATGGGCCAGTACCAGTATGCAGTCTATTGAAAACTGGACTACACAAGTGATAGGCAAATATATGAAGCTTCATTTGCACCTGAAAGGGAGCTAGGCTGCACACACAAAACCATCCCGTTCCCATCCCCTGCTGTAGCTGCCACTTCTACTGCTGCCAGTTGGTGAAGCCAGAACGGTTGGGGGCCGCTAGTATAAGCTCTCCTGTTTGAGCAGGGTGTTGAACCAGACTCCAAGGTCCATTCCAATTCTGTTACTACATTCTCTATAATGTTTCACATATATCTACACATTTTTTTAGAATTAATTAATAACACAAACTATACATCTTATTCACTAACAAAACGAAGCACAAATCAATACTTATCCATTTTCCCCCTTTTCTGACCATGCATTCAATATATTGCCACTCAACCCTTATCTAAATAGCATTTCTACTAATGTTTGTGTTTGGAGGCTGAATATTACATCAGATGCTTAATGCTTTTATTCCAAGTAAATTGTGGGGAATAATAAGATACCTTCAGGTTTTTCTTTACTTCTTTTTAATAAATAAGCATGCTATATAAAAATCTGTTTGTGACATTTCTTACCTTCACCTACCATAGAAACACCTACAGACATCCCCATGAATTTGCTTTTGGTCCATACATGAACATTCACACACACTTTCTTCTCTTTGCACTCGCAGTAAAAACTGCTCACTGGTGGATGATGGGACACTTGTTCAGCTACAAATTTCAGTCTATAACATTCTGATGAAGCTTTCCCCTTGAGACCACAAGAGGCAGTGTTTGCTGTCATTGATTTTACTCTGTCCTTAGGCACATTCCAAGAGCAATGAAATGTTTCTCCAATTATTGGATTATATGGCTTCTTGGCAACAATGCCTTTTCGGCCCTCATAAAAGGCTGTCAAATAGTACTCCACAAAGGAGATGATTCTTTCCTCAGGACTGGTTCCACACGAAATTGATAAAAATAGGTCTGGATGGGCTAAGAAGTTTGCAAACATCTCCAGCAGAGACCTCTTCTCTAAAATAAAGGCTGGAAGGACTACCTAGATTGAACACAGTAAAAAGAAAGTAACCATTTCATCATAACTACATGAGGAAAAGATCAAGCTAGGAGCAATTCTTTGCAGAATGCAAACGTCAATCTTTTCTTCCCTTTTCAGAATTCAAGAATAAAGACAAAAGAACAGTTCCTGTGTTATAACTAGTCAATTATACAAATCAGTCTATTTCTTCAATCCTTACTAGACCTTCAAGTAACAAAATTATATTATTCAAACTGCCTATTTCCCCCCCACTACTTTCCACTTAAGTAGCTTAAGAATTAAACACTTAAGAATTAGACAACTACAGCTAGTCCTCGACTTACAACAGTTCATTTAGTTACCATTCAAAGTTATAATGGCTCTGAAAAAATTGACTTATGACCATTTTTCACACTTATGACTGGTGCAGCATCTCCATGATTACATAATCACAATTCAGATGCTTGGCAAATGGTTCATATTTATGACAGTTGCAATGTCTTAGGGTCATGTGATCCCCTTTTGCAGCCTTCTGACAAGCAAAGTCAGTAGGAATCCAGATTCATTTAACAATCATGTTATTAATTTAACAAATGCAATGATTCACTTAACAAGAAAGTAAAGCCGTAAAATGGGGCAAATTCACTTAAAGTCTCACTTAGCTACATAAATGTTGGGCTCAATTGTCATAACTCAAGAACTACCTGTAATGAATTCTTCTTAGAGAAAGGAGAATATTTATGGCTCAGTGTTAAATGAGGGGTCTTTGGTAGTTTCTGAGCTTGGTTGTTTTCTTGCAGATATTTCATTGCCCAAACTAGATAATATAATCACTGACCACTGATGATGTTACCTTAGTTTGGGTAATGAAACATCTGCAAGAAAACAACCAAGTTCAAAAAACTGTTCACAGATTGTAACAGATTGATTTAAGTTAATTAAATTCCAGAAGAACCTGCCAATTCCAGCAGGCTGGCAGGATGGATGTTTTCAAGAAATCTGTTTATCAGAGAATGGCAAAAAAGTGCAGTGTTTCATTGCTGAGAAAAATTAAGTTGATTGTAATAGTCACAGGGGTTTTCAACCTTTCCAATTTTGCGGACTACTGGGGGTGAGAGATTTGGTTCCATGTAAGCAGCGAATGCACACACTTGCAGAGCTCCATATACACAAGCACCAGGTGCATGCACCTGCATAAACGGAGTTTCTCACTTGAGCACAAGGGTCTACCACTTGCACAAATGGAGTTTCCCATGCGAGTACAAGCACCTGCTGCTCACACAAGTGGAGCTGCAGGCAGTGCACCCACAACTTGAATGGGCTGGTTCCAAACAGGCCATGGCCCAGATGTTGGAAATCCCTGGTTTAGACAATTCAATAACAAGTAAAATATAAGTTTTTAAAAATAAATAGAAATATAGCTAATTTGGAGCTACTATACTTTCAGATTTTTTAAAAAAAAGCAAATTATCAAAGAAAATATTAATAAGCACACATAATTAATTAGCTAGGTATATTTAGTGAGATAATTAAAATTATTAATTTTCACTCTATTGCTGTCATATTATTCGTTATGACTGATATGTTTTCTATCTTGTCTTCAATTAGCTAATAATATTTAAATATTATTTTATTCCCGCATGTGTAAGCAAAATTATACACTTCATTTAATCTCTACTTCAAATAGCCCTTCCCTATTAAATTCATTATATGAGATCAAGCCAACAAGCTCTTTCTTTTCATGCATTATTCAGGAAAGTGGTCTCAACACTGATGTATTCAATTTCTTCATTGATCAAAATAAGTTATTTGCTGAGCTTTCAATATTCCAAAGCACATTCAAGGGAACAGACCAATGTAATTAGAGCTTTTTTCAGTACCCTTTTATTAATGCACAGATTAAATACTAGGCTCGTTGTTCTTTGTTCCTTATATTCCAATATATAAAACATTTTTCCAAAAGTCTCAAACCTAAAACATTTTAAAAATAATGAAAAGTAGACAAAATAAATGTTAATATTTTCATACCGTATATAAATAGCTAATGTAGAAGAAAATTACATGAGTAGTCAATAGTTAATCACAGCTAACAATTCTACTTGGTTACCACTATAGCAGCTCTTACTGATTGGAAAGATACCTATTTGATCATTAGCACAACAGAAAGATATCCCATTCTCAAGTCCTCTGGCATTTGCTAACTGTTGAGGAAAAGGAATCTCTTTTTTGAATGTATTCAAGTTCTAATGAGTCTACATTTATCTCATTGTTTCTATTTTGGGGGCACAAAGAGAGAAGATTAGTATTCAAAGAATCTACCTCAGACTACATTTTCACAAGCTTGGTTTTTGGCTCAAAGAATTGGGGTGTGTGGAAATTTTGATGCAAGGTAATGATTTTGATTGTGTGAAGGATGACCACATTTTCCTAACCCTGAGTTCTTGTCTTCTATAGATCAGATCTAGATTGTTTTCAAAGGTTCAAGTTCACTTTGTCCCAGATAAATTTCTGTTCTATCTATTTGGAATGTCTTCAAGCCTCTCCTTGAGAAATCATAGAGGTGTAAAAACAATGTTTTAAATAAGTGAAAATGGTTAACTTGAGTGATCTGACTTTCTAATAAAACAAACTGTTATTGGTTTAATTAACCTTCTCGTAGCTTTGACCATTCTTCCTTGACTATAAACTTAAATGTTTGGTTATACATTATTGGTGATCCAAAGGGTTAAAATAAAATTTTAATTTTCACATTCCTAGCAACCTGAAATGATATAAAGTATATATGGAACACTTACACTGTATGTGTATAGATTAATAATGAGGGAATTATCAAAATCTACAAGGTTAGAAGTTAATTCTATAGAAAAACAGTTTTCTTCATTTCCCACAAACATGTTAAATTACTTTGTTTTAAAAAAAAGCAGAATTCAAAAAAAATATTTTCACATTTTTTCTTATTTTTTTCCTCTAGAAGTGGATATATCTCAATAGCAAGGATCCAGCTACTTCCCAAGAGCAACTGGAAATGCATACAGTATGCCAGAAATATTTAAAAAGCCAGTTTTGATTCTAGGACTGTGAATTATGAAAAAGAATGGTTACTTTCACCTTATAATGAGACTGAATGAAAAAGCTTTCAGTTCCTGAAAAATACATTACTTGTTTAAAAAGTTAGGGTTTTGTATATATACAATTGAAGCAAAAATTGGAAAAGCAAGTAAACAACATGATAGCAAGTATCACAGATATGGAGTAAAGTCACAAAAAAGATTGAAACAAACACATACCCTAGTTAGATCCATCCCAAGTCTCAGTTGTGAGATAATATGAAGGATTACACTTTGCTGATCATCCAAGGTTCCTAAATCATCCTCTTCAGAGTCTTCAGTGTCTGTCACCTCATCTTCAACCAGAATCACTTCACGAGTTGTATGCTTAAAAATAGAATATAGTTAGTATTCTGGACATAAATAGAACAATATGGCATATATTCAAATAAGCTTATTGTAGCATTCTTTAAAAACACTATGATTACATCTAAAAAGTCATGCAAAACTGATTAGCCCAGATCTGATATTTTCTATATGCATGGAATGGGACTGCAATATGTTGACCAGAAATCTTAGAAACTGTGATTCCAACATATTTTGAGAGTACTAACTTTGGGAAATCTTAATTTAAAATGTCAAAGAATATTAATAGGTTCTCCACTATAGAGTCATAAAAAGAATCATCAGAATGAATCTGAGCTAATTTACTAATAAAATCATCAAACCTCTTAAATAAATCATTTTATTCATATCAGTAATTATACTGGTAAATATATTCTTCTCCTTCTAAACTATCTGGAAACTATGGAAACTATGAAATTAATACAGATATATAAAGAGCCAAATATCTAAAATAATAATGAATGAGTTTGTTATATTTTCTTTGAAAAGAAACACTTTTAGTTGTGTTAAAAATAGATCAATACCAGACATAAGATTGTAATTCACTCTTTTGTCTTATGTTGAAAATAATGGCAAATGAATATCTATTTATTTTTCACAAGCATAAGCTAGTATTTCAGATACAATGCTATATTAAATACTTTAAGAAGTCAAACATAAAATCTGTCATCAAGAAGCAATAAATGTTATTTAAAATTAAGTTTAATTTTATAAATTTGAAATTTCCATTCCGGGATCAGAATCATTATTCAGAAGTATTCAACCCATCAATTATTTGATTGTCCAGCTTGGTCTTGGGTAGGTTGACATTCCTAAAAATACTATAATCAAACTAGTACATGGGATATTTTGATGCTCTTATGTTTGTTAAAAATGAAATTGTTCCATTGTAGCAACTGTTCTTGAAACTGAACAAACACATAATTTGAAGATTTACTATCTACAATTTACCAGACAATCAGACACTATTATAAACCTGAAGCAATTATATTAAATGCAAGTCACTTCCATAAATTACTGTGTAAAAATAAGCTACCACTGAAAAATAATAGGACTCTAAATGTTACAGGAACTCCACATATTCATTTAAAATGAATGAGTTGTTTGACAATGAAGTGAGAAGAATATAAATTTAGTAAACAAACAAAAAACAACCAAATGAATAAATTAATAAAATTATTAAAGTGTCAACCTTGGCAACTTTCAGAAGCAGTGACATCAACTCCCAGAATTCCCAGCCAGCATGGGATTCTGGGAGTTAAAGTCCACACTTCTGAAAGCTCCCAAAGTTAAGAACAGTATGTTAGTATCTTACTTGAAAAGTAATTACAAAAATGTAAAATTTATTACAAAAACGTCTATATTAAATATTAGATAATTGCAATGTTTATGAAAAAATCATGTTTTCTGTATCAATAGGACAATATACTCTTGCATATCAGTATTGCCCTAAGCAAATAATCTATTTCGCTTTCCATGGTACCAGAAAATGAATCTTTGAACATCTAACTCAATACACAAAAAAGCTACCCATTATAATTCATTAATTAGACAACTCTAATTTATCAAACATAAAACATTACATACATTTTGGGAATGGAGATTCAGCATTTTTCAGTCTTGGCAAGTTTAAGATGGGTGAGCTTCATGCTGCCTGGGAAATTCTGGGAATTAAAGTTCATGCATCTTAAAGTTGCCAAAGTTAAGAAGCATCTGTCTACACTAGAATTAAGATTTCCCATTCCTGTTTTATTTAGAGTTTGGTGCAATTAAATGAATCAGATTTGTTTTCATTAAGAAATAGTGATTAAAGCGATATGAAACATTACTGGACTTTTTGTGAGAAACTGAAATTAAAAGTTTATCTGGACTTTGATGATTAAATAAGGAATTATGGAAATAATGTAGGCAAATGTTAATCTTAGAGTAAGAGCTTAATATGTTTTTTTATTTATATCTGTACCAAAGAAAGTTGGAAATCATTCTTTTTGTTTTCTTTCTTTTTCTTTCTTCTTACACTTTCACTCTTTTTCTTTCCTGAGCCTTTTCTTTTTTCAAATCGGTTTTTTATTTGTTTATCCCTAAGCTTTGTATCTTTTTTGATGTATAAAGGATCAAATACTCATTATAATTCTACATTCCTTATTTACAGAAATCATATCAAAATTTAGAATGAAATCCACCTGGAGTCATCTTATATAATGCAGACTCTGTGTCCTCTAGCCAAAAAAGTGTTTATCAATAGAAAATAATATTTGTAGCTCAGGGATGAACTGTGGGCTCCTTGGTGCTCTCTGAGCTTGAAGGTTTTCTGCAGGTGTTTCATTACCAAACTAGGTAACACCATCAGTACTAGAAGGGAGTGGAGTTTTCTTTTATTTTCATATACTAGTGGCTTACCCTGTCAGTGTTGATCAGTTGCTTCACATAAAGTGTTTTTATTGGTGCCAGGTCTCTACTGTCTCAGGCAGAGAAGGTCTATTCTGTACCCCTCCCTCAAATGTTCTTTAAAATACAGAGTTTCCCAGCATTCCTTTAATAACCTCCAACATGCAAACTGTAGTTACTCATCCCAAATGAATCCTCTTTATCTGGAGCTTCAAAATTTGCTGTTTGCTGAAGAGGTGTATACCCTATTTCCCTGAAAATAAGACCTCCCTGGATAATAAGTCCAACCAGGCTTTTCAGCGCATGCGCTAAAATAAGCCCTCCCCTAAAATATTTAAACGAATGTGCAGCTGGTCTCTGGGGAAAGGGAGGAACATGCCCCACATGCACCTACCATCCACGCGAAACGGCCTCACGGAGGCTGCTCCCGCAAACTCTAGCTACTGCCCATCTTCTCTTAGTGGAGGCCGCAAAAAGAGCGGCAGGCCCAGTGATGCTAGGGCTGGCAAGTGTGTGTCAGAAACAGAAACAGAACCTCCGGCTCTCTATGGGTGAGCCAATTCTGCGAGCTGCAGGCTGAGGTTAAGGGGCCTCCTGCACCTCAAAAATTATAAGATCTCCCCGAAAATAAGGCCAAGCGCTTATTTAGGGGATCAAAAAAAAAATAAGATCCTGTCTTATTTTGGGGGAAACATGGTAGCTAAAAGTCAGTCTACATTTAGTGTAAATCTGGCTTTGGAGATATTTCTTCATAAACAAATAAAAATCTATTTTCTGTGCAGTTTACACTCCTTGATCACTGGACCTGGATGTTACAAAGCAAAGCCCACATTTTGCAATTAACCCCCACACCCCGTTTTGGCTGGCAGAGTGCTGCAGGAAGCTGAGTGTTGTCATGCCCCCCAGGCCACGGCCACACCCATCCTGCTACACCCACCCAGTAGGTCAGTAGAGCAGTGAACCAGTTGTTAAATTATTTGAATCCCACCACTGGTTTCATCCCTCAAACAACAGCAGAAAACATAAACCACAGTAAGAAAGCTTTTCATATCTCTGCTAACAATGAATGTACCATGCTATTTTATTTCTCAGATACACACTATTAATTCAATATGTTTATTATTTATTTAATTTGCTATAAAATGTTTGTTTTTATATCAACTATGAAGCGCAACAAAGTACTGATTCACACAATTATCTGCTTAAAAATGCATGAAATGTAGCAGTGAGAGTTCCTTGACATTTTAATTTACTTAATTTTAGGGTTTTTAACAGTATTTTTTTTAATTAGACAGATCAAAATAAAACCAGACTACTTTAGATATAAATGATGAGTATATTTAAAGGAGTCTTTCTCTTTTTGTTATTTTAGTCCAAATATTAGAAAGCCAATGTCGCAACGATACGGATGTGCGGTCCCGATGCTCCGAGACAGCAGCCAATACTTTTGCCGCTGGGTGGTCCAAGCGGACCTAAACCATCCCGAAGAGACAGTGAACAGGAAGAATACGTCTTGTTGACCTCAGAGACATTGCAAAGTCCCTGATCGATGCAAGAGAAGTTCTTCAAGCCAGCGACAAAAAATCCAGCCAAGGCCGACGAAGTCAGGGCAGCTCCAAAACAGAAGGATACGGAAAGAGAAAGTGTTTCCAGTTGGTGAGGAACTTTTACCATTTTAAAAAGAGACTGCCTATTAAAAAACTTAAAATTAATTTAAATTGAAGAACAGAAGAAAGAAGCGGCGGAATTAAATTTGGAATGGTTTTGGACAGGGGGTTATCTTACTTTTTAAATGCTATCTTCATGGATCGGATTTATGCAAGCTTTTAAAATGAATGGATTAAGTTTTCTTCTCTTTTTTCTTTTATTATTCTCTGTAATCTATGGACTAAAATTTTCCTCTTTCATTACTGTGGGTGTTCTAACTCATTTAAGAATCAGACTTTTTTAAAAAACTTGAAATACAAAAAAGATACAAAAAGAAACAAGGAAAATTGCAACATAATACTGCTACTCGGAGGCTGGAAGGTTTGCATATTGGAAACAAAACATTCTTTTTTCTCTCACTGATTATTTTGGCTTGGCACTACAAGCTCTCACTGCTTGGTTATAGAGAGTGATAAGAATAAACGCATACAGATGTCCCTTTGAAGTATGAAAAAAAAGTGAAAACAAAACCTTATTGTGAATCTATGCTTAATTTTATTAAACTTCCAAGCCAAAGCAGCTGTGTTTGTTAGTGGGAGATAATGGCACAATTTCAACAACAGAAGGAATCTTAAGTCTGCAAAAGATATTATTTGGATTATATATAAAGGTTAATAAAAAAAAGAACTAAGTTAGATATAGTTAAAGCTTTGATTATTAGAGAGAAAATGTTATGATACAGGATATAGTTAAATAAAGGAGAGATAATGATAACAACATACATATAGATATGGGTATAAGATAAGGAAACGATGTAAATTGTAAACAGTGATTTGGAAAGGAGGATTAGAAAATTTTGTTATTAAATATTATGGATGTTTAGCTAGAATAGGACATAAGGATTTAGTGCCAATGGAGGATTTTAGAAATAGTAAATGAAAGGCCAG